ACAACAACAACATCATATATATAAACAAACTCTGGTGGCATAGTGCCTAAGGTACTTGACTGCTAGCCAGAAGGTTGGTGGTTCAAACCCAGAAGCCACTCCTTGGAAGGAAGATTTGGCAATCTACTTCTAGAAATATCCCCTTGGAAACACAAGGAGGGGTCGCTATGTTTCAGAGATGACATAGCGGCACATAACAACAAAAACTATATATATTCATATATATATATGTGTGTGTGTGTGTCATATATATATGACACATGTGTATACATATATGTCATATATATATATGTATGTATGTATGTATGTATTATGTATGTGTGTATGTATATACCTATCTATGAGAAGCTCTGGTGGCACAGTGCCTAAGGCATTTGACTGCTAACCAGAAGTCAATGCTTCAATCCCACCAGCCACTCTGTGGAAGGAAGACTGGGGCATCCACTTCCATAAATATTTAGTGCCTCAGAAACCTAAGGAGGTACTATGATTCAGAATCAACTCAATGGCAGTGAGTTTGGTCTTTTTTTTTTATAATTCCTATCTATATATGAATGTATATACCTTCATATACTGTACAGAAAACAGTTTACATATTATTGTCTGTCACTTTCACCTTGATGATTATTTCTTTATGCTATTCATCATAATTTGTCAACAAATGTGTCTATATTTATATATACATTATAAATGTTTTATATCTGTATATTTATATTATAAATATATTATTTGTGTATATGTTTATATGTATATGTGTACTTCTATGTATGTATAAGGAGCTCTGGTAGCATAGTGGCTCAGGCACTTGACTGCTAACCAGAAGGCTGGCAGTTCAAACCCACCAGCCACTCCTCGGAAGGGAAATGGGGCAATCTACTTCCATAGTGATACTGCCTAGGAAACCCAAGGAGGGGTCGCTATGAGTCGGGGCTGACTCGACGGCACACAACAACAACAACAACAACATGTATGTATATATATCTATATATATCTATATATATATTTACACGTTTGTGTGTGTGTGTGAGTGTGTATGTTTGAGGAAACAAAATGTTCCTATTATATTTAACAATATATTACATAGTCATTCAATAATATTTGGTAATGAATGAATGAATGAATCATTTAACATATGACTGAATCATTTTCTTGTGATTATTGCTATCTTCTTTTCCATGCAATCACTTAAGACCACCAGGAAACAAATAAAATCATATTTATTGATCTCTTGCAAGGAGGCAGATCACATACCAGCAGACCCATGGAGTGTCTCACTTGACAAAGGAAGAAATAGAGTGAGCATAAGATTTAGGGAAAGGTAGAGTTTAGGTGAAGTGTAAATGAAGCAGTATTATGTGTGCTCATAGCACAACAAAGTTGTATCTAAAGGGGTCAACATCAAATCTACCCACAAAATTGACATGCGGTCCTGTTTGTTTCTATACTACAAAATTAAAACAGGTATGGAATGTTGCATTCAAAGTCTCCTTATCTGATGTTCTGCATCTAGGTTGGAAATAAAGATTGTTTCTCTATGTCAAAGACTTATATCCACCAGGTAGGAGTGGGGTATTTCATTTTACTGAGAGAATTTCAAATGGCTGATTTCCGACTGATATGATGTTAGAGAGCCAAGTTTTCTCAGTGAGTAAGAAAATAGTTGTCACTCATTAGGGGGGTTGTTTTGATATTTTAAAGCTGCAGTATATCCTTGGGAGAAATAATTTTATCCTGCTGAGTTTACATCTGGATTTACCTGTGTCTTATTGTATCTGTGTTTTACCTTGCCCCTTCATGATCAGAATTCAGTAATCTTGGAACAACCATTCATCTTAGTGTCCCACTAGCAGCCTTCATATCCTCTGTTTTACAATAGCTCTCCTGAAGGCTTCTTTCACATCTTGGTTCCTTAGGCTGTAGATTAAGGGGTTGAGCATGGGTGTGACCACAGTATAAAACACTGCAATGATCTTGCCTCCTGCCTGGGAGGACTTTGACTGAGGTCTCATGTACATGAAGATGGCGGTTCCATAGAATAAGGCCACCACTGTGAGATGAGACGCACAAGTGGACAGTGCTTTGTGCCTCCCAGAGGCTGACCGCATCCTGAGGACAGACTGAAGGATTCTGACATAGGAAACAACAATGAGGAGGAAAGGAATGAAGACAATGATGATACTGAAGACAAAAATGACCAACTCAGTAAGTGAGGTGTCAGTGCAAGCCAACCTCAGGATAGTAGGGACCTCACAGAAAAAGTGATTCAGTATATTGGGCCCACAATAGGGCAGACTCAAGGTGAAGACATTGATAATCATGGAACTGAGGAAGCTGCTAGACCAAGAAATGGCTACCAGTTGGATACATGTGCTCCGGTCCATAATGACAGTATAATGGAGAGGATAGCAAATGGCTACATATCTATCATAAGCCATGACACCTAGGAGAACACATTCAATCATTCCAAAGGAGAGGGAAAAGTACATCTGAGTAGCACAGCCAGAGAATGAGATAGTCTTCTTCTTCCCCACCATGTTGGATAGCATTTGTGGTACATTGGTGGATGTGTAGCAGATGTCCAGAAATGACAAATTGGTGAGAAAAAAGTACATGGGGGTTTGAAGATGAGGTACTATCTGGATAATTGTGATGATGATAACATTCCCAGCCACCGTTAATAAATAGAAGAATAAGAACATAATAAAAAGAACTAACTGTATATTTGGCTGAGATGAGAGCCCCAGGAACACAAACTCTGTCACAGTGAAGTTTGTTGGTATCATATTTATATTTAAGGTCAGGTGATACCTTCTTCTCAAAAAACCACCCACTCATATGAAGACAAAATCAAATGCCTATATGTCACATAGCAGGAAACTGAAAACCTGAATAAGAAAGCAAAGAGAATTCTTGATCTGATATTATATCTTGAGTATCTGAGTTTTACTACAAATGGAAACTTGTTATTTTGTCTTTTAAATCTATTTTCTCTGGATAAGATAAGAATATCAGACCCAAATACTGACTGGAGTTAAGCAAATATTTTTGTCCTTCTCAAATAAATGCTCTTTTGCCTGTTCAAAGTATTTCCAAACCTTACTTATTTTTCAAAGCTTTACTCACAGCCCTTCTACTTCAGAATACCTGATTCTGATTTTGTTCTACACCTAACATCGCAAGGAAGGGCATTGCTTCATGTCCTACCCCAGGAGACTATAAGGAAGGGCAGGGATAGGGGAACAGCAAGCTGTGCGGCTTCTGCATCACCCTGATGAAAACTTCAAGTATTTAGTTACCCTAAAGATCAAAGGCTATGCACACAAACAACCAAAAACCAATCAAAGACCTCCATGATTACATATTCTACAGCTTCATGACTTCCATGATATGAGATTTAAGATGGTATGATTCATTGTAAAATGAGAATACAGATAGAACTAATTTTGTAGGATAATTTGTTTATGGTTGAATGAAATAATCCAAAGCATTTAAGACAATGTCTTCACATAAGAAGCAATATATAAATAGTAAATATTATTAGAAACCCTAATAGCCTATAATAAGGATCTCTACTGCTGTATTGGATAAGACATTTGGGTACCAACCAGAAGGTCAGTGGTTCAAAGCTGCCACCTGCTCTAAGGAAGGACGATGGGGCAATCTACTTCCGTAAAGATTTGCAGCCTTAGAAACCCAACAGGGGTCTCTATGAGTCAGAGTCAATTCAATGACAGTGAGTTCAGTTTTTCATTTGTTATGTTTTTAATAGCATATAATAATGCCACAATTACCTGGCAGAATTTACCTCTTTAAGAATGTGTATTTCAGAGAAATATTATTAATAAACAGGATCTGTACAACTTGAAGGAGCTCTGGTAGCATAGTGCCTAAGGCACTTAACTGCTAAACAGAAGGCTGGTGATTCAAGTCCACCAGCCACTCCTCAGAAGGAAGAGGGGGCAATCTACTTCCATAGTGATACTGCCTCGGAAACCCAAGGAGGGGTCGCAATGAGTCGGGTCTGATTCGACGGCACATAACAACAATATACAACTTGAAGTTACTATGTCTCTTCATGGAAAGCCCCTTAGCCCTTAATCTACACCTGTTTGCTATTCGTTTACACACAGTTTAGTGTGTTTGTTTAATTGACTTCCAGTCCTTAGCAAATTTAAAGCACCCACTTAAAGAGATGAGGGCTAATGGAGAATCACAGAGGTTGGCACAGTTACTCTAGCAAGAAGCTGCCATTCATTCATCCATTTATCCATTCTTTCCTTTTTTACTTCTTTTTTTTCCTTTCTTGATTTTCAGAGTACTTTTTTGAGGATATTGGATGTACAAGATGCTGGGTATACACTAATGAACATAAGAGACTTCTCTATACTCTCATGGAGCTTAAGTCCAATGGAAAGTTGCAAAAAAGAACAAGAAACAAGAAATTGTGCATCATGAATTATTGATTAGCATGCAATATGTTTTAGAGGGTTTCTTGTGTTTAGATTTAAATCAGTTTTCAAATCAAATAATTCTGTGAATTGGTAAACTAAATTCCTAAACTATGAAGTCTAGCGGTAAGAGAAAGGTAGAGCTGCAGAGAGAAGAGAGAAGTCAAGTCACAGTTCTGTTGTCATCAAGAGTAGCAGGAAGCGAAGTGGGCAGTGGAGGTTATGAAGTCTTCATCCAGGTCCTCCAAATAGCATTTAGAAATTCTGCTGTAAATAAGAAATATTTTGGTGATTTTTTTTTAGGTTTGATTATAATGGCAGCAAATACAGTTAGCTTCTCAGCTGCCAACTTGATGACACATAAGCAAGAGACCATAGTGAGTGGTGAAGCACCAAGAATCTGAAATCAAAAGACTAACTGCTCTACTTGCCAGCTGGCAAGATTTGCTACCTCTCTGTGCCATCATAATTCACACCATCATTTTCCTTATTTAAGCTTTTTAGGAAGGATGGAGGCAGCAGTAGCACCTACCTTATGTGGTAGGTTGGTGAACAAGTTAAATGAGATAATACATCTAAAGCACATAAAGTAGACATATAGTATGGACTGAATACATGTTAACCATTGTTATTATGAGTATTTGATCTTCATTTGAACCTTGTTAAGTGACCAGAGCAGAAATTATCATTGTCACATAGAATAATAGACAAATTAAGGCTTCAAGATATTAAATGACGTTTCCAAAGTCATGTAAGGAAATATTAGATATAAATGCAAACACCTACAACACACATGTGCATAGTATTTCTATGAAGTAACCATGCCAGAAATAATACTATCAGCTCATGCATGTATATGTAAAATTTCATGCACATCAAGGAACGCAAATATTTTGTATCAACTTTTACACACTGTTTATATTTTGAAGCTTCAATGAACAGCATAGTCACTCAGCCTTCCTCTGAAGGCACAGTCACCTCAGAGACCATTTTCTTTCACTTAACGGCCTTCAATATTGAGGGCCCATTCCAGTGTACAGTTTTACAGAATTTAAGCCAGTTTCCATTCCTACCAGAGCACAGAGTTGTTTCTCCATAGAAATCCAGAAATAACACAGAAACTTTTGGAAACGTTTGCCTCGTGAACTCATAAATTGAATATCCCCAGTATAAAGCAAATTCACCAAATTAAAGAAGCAGTTACAAAAACCCTGGGTGTTTGTACTTTCCTGTGAATTTTATACAAAGAATTCAGTCAGGCAAACAATCACCTAGACAACTGCATTCCTTCCATTTATCTCACAGGGCAAAAGCCACTAGTGCCAAATGCCTCTTCCAACTTGTCTGTCTGGAAAACTTCTCTTCAATCTTTTAAATTCTAGGTACACATGACATCCTTTTAGAAAACCTTCATTCTTGTTTTTATTTCACAGAAAGAGTTCATCAGAATTTCCTTTGCTAAACCATTTCTGTCCTTTGAACATACCCTATTTTCATACTTATGTACATGTGCGAGTATGAATAAATCTTTATTAGTGTATCTCCCCAATTGATGTTGGATTTCTTGGGATCCTATTATTTTGTTTGTTTGTTTATCTAATTTCTGGTACTTAACAAGGAGTCAAGGTGGCTCAGCAGTTAAGAACTTGGCTGCTAATCGAAAGGTCGGTGGTTCAACCCACCAACAGCTCCGTATGAGAAAAGAACAGCAATCTACTCCCTTCTAGGAAATTCTGGGCAGTTCTACTCAGTCCAATAGGGTTTCTATGAGTCAGAATTGACTTGACTGCCTACAATAACAACAGTACATAATAAACACTCTTAAATACTGATGAAATTCAAATGAACTCTTCTTATTTCCTACTATAGTTCATTAAGTCTTGTGTTCAGATTAAGAATAACTTCATTTTCGTAGTAGCCATATTTCCATCAAAGTGTATAGTCAAGCAAAGTCCCTAATGGTTTCTTTTTCTGAACAAGCTGGTTTAATGCTTAACAAGTGATCTAATTCAGTTTTTTTTAAAGATTATGTTTTACTTAGGCTCAGGTTATTTTGGTATCAAACAGCATATTATAGGTTTGATGTGTTATGTGAGTAAAGGACTCATCTCTCCATTTTTCAGGGCAAAGAAAGAACTCTTAAAAAAAAAAAAAAACCTCTCACACCAAACTGGAAAATCTATTGTTCCTTCATAAATCCATATGTTAAAAAAAAAAAAAAGCTCACTCCTTAATATTTATAATTTAAGCCATTTGTGGAAATGAGGAATTGTTTTCATCAAACCATAATTAATTTGGTTATTACATTTGGCAAATAGATTTCACAGATAATGATGATATTGTTGAGATTTGGTACTACTTCCTTTCCCAGGAATCATTTTGCAATGTGGCATACTGCAGTAGTTCAGAACCTAAGCTCTGGACAAGGACAACCTAAATATGAATTCTGATTCCACCATTTCTCTGCTGGGTCACTTGGGCAAGTTTTTGAGCTTTTTAAATTACATTTTTCTTATATGTAAAACAGGAATTGCATCAGTACTTAATTCTAAGGATTATTTTTGATGATTATATTACAAAGTGCATCTAAAAGTTTTACCATAGTGTTTGACACATAGTAAAAACTTAAGAAACAGTATAATATAGTATTATAACAGTACTATATAGCTAACAGTATTATATAGATACCAGGTTTATGCAATTTGTTAGAAATATACTTGTCTCTAAAAATGGAAGAAACACTATAAAACAATCATATTGGTAGTATTTGACTTGCCTTGTGGAGTCCCTTACATCCTATACAAATTCATACAACCCTTATATGAATTTGGTATTGCCAACATTTCTGATGTCTTTTTGTTGGTTATCCATGAATGAACACAAATTATTGTTTAAGAAAAAAAAATCTATTTTAAGGACAAAGAATTTTAAGGAGTAAGAAGAATAGATAATTCTATTCACTGCCTAATGAAGTGAGAACTTTAGGGATGGTTACTAAGCAGCCCAGTCATCTCCTTCTAATGACTCTATCAAAGAGTTATGAAAATATGGCTAACAAAGGAATTATCAATTGTTAAAATAAAAGCATCACTTACAGTGTTTACAAGCCACTTAGATGATAATTTACTGTTTGGGGTAGATTTGTTACATAAATCCTCTTGAAGAGATAATTGGGGACTGATTTTGATAAAGCCTGGAAGAGGGAGGAGAACATGAGAGGAGGGGCTACTGGACAGCCATGTCCTGAGACAAGACC